TTGTGCTGGTGGCCACAGCGGGGCTGTGGGTGGGGGGGGGCTCCAGTTGGGGGGGCTCTGGGGGGGGGCGGGGCCAGCAGCAGCCTGTCATAATGTTTTCTTACTGGAGACTTTGTGCACGCTTCAGTCTGGCTCTTACATCACCCCCCCCCTCCCCATCCCTAACCCCGCCCCCCCAACCCCCCCAGACAGGGGCAGATGTGCTGGTCAGGGGATGTAATAACCAGGAAAAGGGTGTGAACGTGACTCTGAATGTGTGCGTCCATAGTAACTGGGATGCTTGTAAACAGGAGCTGAGCAGGTGGGGGTCATGTGACCTGCGGGGGGGGGGGTCTGGGCTGCTTAACGAGGCCGGTGGCTGATGGGAAAACTGTCGTCATGGCTAAAGGCTCAGGTGGTCGGACCTCTAACTGCTGGAGACTCCACAGCTGGACAGTCACAGCTGGACAGTCACAGCTGGACGGTCACAGCTGGAGACTCATGGCGTGCCCCCCCCTTTTCTGTGCAGACGTTCACGGCCTGGTGCAACTCCCACCTGAGGAAGGCCGGCACGCAGATCGACAACATCGAGGAGGACTTCAGAGATGGACTCAAGCTCATGCTGCTCCTGGAAGTCATCTCAGGTAAAAGGCTAGAGGCGTCCGCGGCGGGCGCCGCCCACCTCGCCGCCCGCTCGTCTGTGGCCGGGCGGCGGCTCGAGCTGATGTGGGAGACTCAGCGTCCCGTCTGAGGGGGGCGGTCAGTCAGATTAAATCCTGTCCAACTGGGATCAGATTCCTTCAGTTTGGTCCCATCTCATATTTTCTGTCCGGGCCAATCAGAACCAGGTTTGCTGGGATGCAGTCTTAAGTTTAGCAATAGTTATTGTGACTCTTGAGGAGAGGTGCATCATGGGAGCCCCCCCCCCACCAGTCTGGGCCTATAGAACTGTGGGGGGGTTTAAGGGTCCCTGAGTATCTGTAACTATCAGCTTTATCAGAAAGGAAAGTCTGATCTTAAAGGTAAAGGGGGG